GGCCTGCTGTGTTCATCCAGCTCTACACCATACAACTCATCTGTCGGTTTTGGCACTGGAAGCATACCAGCCTCACAGCACCTTCATGGCACAATCTCCGAACCACTTACAATACAGTTCTGTCCTTCAGTGCTGCAGTTTACAGCAGACTGGCAGCCTCCATTGGAATCCTTCTACCAGAACACTTAGGCCACAGGGAAGGGCAGCCAATGCCTAGATTTGACTGGGTTCCATCTCAGGGCTCTTCACTCGCTCTCTTTACCATACATTCACTTTGCACCTACTTGGATGCTCACCATGCCCTGACTTGCCTTTTTGTAAAGCTCTCAGCCAGAGCTTGCAGGCTCATTGTACCTTTGACTTGCCTTGCTGTTTAGTGCAGTCACAAAGCCAGCAGCTTGTCGGCTGTCATCAGTCAAGTGGATGGACATGTTACTGTGTGCAGAGTGCATGTCAGTGTCACACCTGCAGCATGGGCCAGCAACCGCACACACCCTGCATGTGCATCAACCAAATGGTCATATTTAAAAGTCTGAGGGGATTGGTCCTCAGTCGGGCCATGGGAGACAGCCTTTGGTCAGGGATCCTGGCACAATAAGTCAAGGGGAGTGTCTGATACCAGTCCAGGGACTTTGACACAGTCATCAGCCACTTGGAGTCAGGGCGTCTATATCATACGTTTCAGGGAATGGGTCACAGTCAATCTTGCAGGTTCCTGTGCAACCAGTTTGGGGAGTCGTGGCAAGTCAGTCAAGGAGCTGTAGAGAGTTTAGTCAGGGGTCTGGTCACTCATCAGTCAGATTTATGTATCCATGCCAGCCAGAGGTACACCACTGTACTGGGAATCAGACCACTGAAAGTCAAAGGGGCTTATCAGAGGTAGGTGAGTTTGGGAAATCCATTCTGGGAGTGGGAAGCAGAGGTGACAATAGTAGTATGGGGGTTGAGATAATAATACATTAGACAACCTTGATTTCTGCTGTGAAGTGGTGAGGTGGAGCATGTCATTGATGGTCACAATCATTCTTACTTTAGTAATGAGTTAGTCCAGAATGATGGTTGGCATGGCCAAGCTGTAGGGCTGGGTCTCAGTGGGTAATGTTGGGAGATAAAGTTGCAATTCAATGAGGTGTGTGGGAGTGTGTTCAGGTTGGAGATTCAGGGGCAGGAGTAGTCCCACGATTACCAGGCGGAGCCTGTGACTCATCCTGACATGCATGACAAGGTATTAGTAATCATACAGCATTTACAATCTCCTACTTTATTTGTGCAACATGGCTTGTGCTCCATGCATTGGAATAAGGTTCCTTTCTCAGAGTCCATCTGGAAGCATTCTGTAGCCCTTGTTGGAGTCCTCCATATTCCACAGTATGGAGGAGTATGCTAGACTATCAACGCCAGGATGCCTTACAAAAGATGGTTACTGGCAGACAACAGCAGTTTATTCTTCACTGGATCCATAGTGGAGAAGATGACAAGTCTGCTGAAGGTGAGGTTCTGATGCTTAGATTACTGTATAGGCTGGCAGGACAGAATGTGCCACATTTTTCCTAGTATGCAGTGGTCAGAAGAGCAGAAAATATTCAAATTTGCTGAAAGAAATAGTTCTAAAATCCAAAGCCAACCTGAAAGATCCCAGGTCCAAATCATCAGTAAATTGCAGACTGTTTATTGTTGTACAGATAACACAGAATCGTCATTGTTGAATTTCTTCAAAGTAGGATTGTGGAACTAATTGCGATTTTGGACTGGTGATACAGAACTGTGTTTGTCTGACTTTGTTTTATCATTTTCTTTGCCCTTTGTGTGTCTGTATGTTTGGAGGGTTTTTTACACAGGAATAGAGTTTATTAAGTTGCATAATTTAGAAACCCTGTTTTTTTATTCAAGCAATGCAATGGATATAATTCTTTCAGATTGTCACAGAAGAATCCTGGTGTGATTTGTTTTTAATCCCGAGTGGTAATCAGAGGCAAATTGAGATTTTTGGCATTGTTTCAATAATTCAAGATTTGCAACGACTCCAGGAATAGTGGTGCTTGATATCCAGTGCACTACCTCCACAGGTCACAACAACATAAATCAGGATTAAGCAAGTGCTGCATGAAATAGAGTTATTTCAGTGGTGCAACTTAATCTTTCTCTTTAATTCTCAGGATTTAGTTTCCTGTGGCCCTAGGAGACATTTAAGTGGCCATCTCTAGTTCCTGAGGTGATGCTAGTCAGGAATGATCTTGGACCACTGCAATTCATTTCAAAAGTAATTGCACAGACTACAAATACAGGGGATCTCCCATTTATGAACAACTGACTTACGTACACTGGTACTTACAAGGACAATTCCCAACAAGGGTGTAACTTTAAAGACCTGACATATGAATATTTCCTGTACTTATGAACAGCTGCTTTCCATTGTCCTGCATTATGTTCAAACTGGTGTACAATTTGACTTCCAGAACAAGATCCATTCACGAGCCAGTCTGAAGACAAACTTTTGGGAGGGGGGCAGGGGGTGCACAGCACAGACAATATTCATTGCTTCACTGATGCAAGAAACACTTATCTATGCCCGTTATGGATAATCAGTAACAAAGTAGAAAAGTAGATAGCCAGCACCTTTTCCCCCAAGGGAGTCTAAAACTAGAGGTCATAGATCTAAGGTGAGAGAGGGGAGAGATACAAAAGGGTCCAGTGGTGCAGCTTCCCACCCCCCCACCATCCCCACAGAGGGTGGAATGTCTGGAACAGGATGCCAGAGGAAGTAGTGGAGGGGAGTTCAATTTTGTCATTCAAGAAAAAAAAATTGAAGGATGGTTCAGGTATGGAGGGATATGGACCAAATGCAGGCGAATTGGACTACGTTAATTGTGAAAACTGGGTGACATGGACAAGTTGGGCCATAAGGCCTGTTTCTATGCTGTAAACCTCTATGCCTACACACAGTTAGGGCTGCGACATTACAGCATGACAGAAACAATGTCAGTAGTGGTGCATATGCATGTGACTCCACCCCCCCAATTCAGCAATGTCTGCTCAGTGTGTCGCAACACATCACAGCACCCTCCCACCCTGCCTGGGAACATAAATAGGCCATTTAGCCCATCAAGTCTGCTCCAGAATTCAAGAGGATTATGACCAGTCTGACTATGGGCTCAGCTCCACTTTCCTGTCTGCACCCCCCCCAACCATCCATCCCAATAAATTTAAAGATCCAGCTTCCACTATTTCCTGTGGAAGAGAATTTCACACTCAAATGGCCATCTACACAGATTTCTCTCTCCATCTGTGTCTTTAAAGGGAGACTTCTTTTTCTTAAAAGAATGTCCCTTAGTTTTAGTTTCTCACACAAGAGGAAACCTCCTTTGGGTGTCCACCCTATCCAGTTCCCAGTACTACCTAGCTCTCCCATTCTGCACTTAGCAGCAAAGGACAAACAAACAATTCCTATAAAAGTTTGTTATTCATTAACTTTATTTTGCTCCATTAACATATGTACAATATAATGGATGGGCCATGACTTTTTTTCTTGTATACTGTAAAATGAAACACACAAAGCATGGTTTTGCTGCTTGTTAAAGCCATCTCTCTAAAGGTTACAAAATCTAGAAGAATACAAGCCAAACTTAATATGTTGCCTTTCTGAATGTTATAAAATGCCTTACAACTAGAAGTATCATGTGTTGTTACTGTTGCAGGTAACACGCAGAAATTCATTTGCGTTCAGCAAGTTTGTCCAAACATCATGAGATAAATGATTGGATAATTTATATTGGGTGAGGGATAAAGAGCAACCAGAACATTGTATACATTAAGGAACTAATCACTATCAGCTAATGGTTTGGGGAGCATGCTACGACCTTTTTTCTACTCTAAATATAAAATCAATTACATTCCAAGCAGTCCCTGGTGGAGCACTGCCAAAAATCAAAACATTTCCAGAAATTTATCAAAAAAAACTTACATTAAAGTATTATTCCCAGGGTTGATGATGCAATCCATCTTCCTGCTCTTAAATTGAAGAATTATTGTTCAGACAACCCCTGGTGGGGGACCTCAATGCAGCTTTCTAGGGGATTTTAATCAACCCATTCAGTCATGTTATGACATGTCTGGGGAAGTTGAGCATTGACCTACTAAGCCAGTGGTAGGAACACTACTACTGCACCACAATAACCCCAATCAATTTTGCTTTTAAGAATAGAAAAGTTAAGTTAGATAGGCCTTGATGAGGGCTCTGTAATAATATAGAACTAACGATTAATGGAAACTTATAAGGTAAACAATCAAAATTACATTATTCCAAATAATGATGCACTCTAGCTCCTGCAGTGCGTAAAGGCCTCTGGGCAATCCTTTCTATAGTGTTTAAGAGTCTGTTAGATTAACAGTGGTAGAGATTGAATCAATAGTGAGTCTAAAGAGGCACTTGTCTTAATAACAAGATGTAGTTTATTGCATGATAGCAACAGGTGAAAGTTACATTGGCTAGTTAGCATCAGGTCTATCAGGAATTACTGACGACAAAAACAACAAATTACTGCAGATACTGGAAATCTGAAACAGAAAATGCAGAGAAACTCGGCATCTGTGGGCTAACAGTTTAATGTTAAACATTAAATATTTAAAAGTCCAATGGGATAATGATGACACATCAGCATTTCCATCAAGATCTTCAGCTCCACTTCTCTTTATGCCACCCAAGATCGTAAGACCTCATAGGATTGTTGAAGCTAAATGCTGTCTTCAACATTAAACTTTTCAGAACCATGACCTCATACAGAGAACTTTTAAAAGAAAGCCAATCCTTTTTCCAACAGTTCCAAGGGCTCTTTTACATTCACCCAAGAAGGTAGGTGGGACCTTAGTTTCACATCTTAAGTGAAACCAGTACAATAGCTCAGCACTACACAGAGAATCATTTGAGATTGAAATCACTGATGGCTACCTGGCATTCAGACCCCTTGCGGGAAAGGCTATCTTAGAACATGCACTTTCCAACAACTGGGAAGTGCTTTATCTGGAATAAAATCAACTATTATACTAGAAAAAGTGTTACATAGATTCATAGAGATGTACAGCACAGAAACAGACCTTTCAATCCAACTCATCTACACTGACCAGATATCCTAAACTGATCTAGTCCCATTTGCCAGCATTTGGTCCATATCCCTCCAAACCCTTCCCATTCATATACTCATCCATATGCCTTTTAAATGTTGTAATTGTACCAGTCTCCTCCACTTGCTCTGGCAGCTCATTCCATACATGCACCACCCTCAGTGAAAAAGTTGACCCTTAATTCCCTTTTATATTTTTCTCCTCTCACCTTAAAACTACACTCTTTAGTTTTGGACTGCCCCCACCCTGGGGAAAAGATCTTGGCTATTTACCTTATCTATGCCCCTCATGATTTTATAAACCTCTGTAAGGTCACCCCTCAGCCTTTGACACTCAGGGGAAAAAAATAGCCCCCGCCTATTGTGATAAGTATTTACTGACATATTATTTTATTTCAATGTAATTTAAAATTGGTTCATAAAAGTGCTGTTTTCAGGAACTTCAAATTATATATAGCTTTTAATCGAAGGTGGAACTTAGTTACCTGAAACAAATGTGGTTAAGGAAGACATTTGTTCAATCAACTAGTTTAATGCAGTAGAAGACAAGACAATCTGTAATCCATTTCCTAGCAATTCAAATCAGGAATCAATTCTTACAAAAACAAATTGCTGGACAAACTCAAACTGACTTTATAGAGGTTTATAAAATAACGAGGGGTATAGATAAGGTGAATGCCAAGTGTCTTTTCCTTAGGGTGGGGGATTTAAAGACTGGAAGGCATATTTTAAGACGGGAGGAGAAGGATTTCAAAAAGACTTGAGGGGCAATTTTTTTTTTTTTTAAAAAATAGTGTGGTTTATGTGTGGAATGAACTTCTAGAATAAGTAATGGATGTGGGTACAATTATAATGCTGAAAAGACATTTGGATAAGTACATGAATAAGAAATGTTGAGGGATATGGGCCAAGCAAGGCCAGTGGGACTTGTATAGTTTGGGATTATGGTCAGCATGGACTGGTTGGATTGAAGGGTCTATTTCCATGCGGTATGACTCTATAACCAAGTCCGGCAGCTTACGACAATACAGCACAGGCCCAGGCCCTTTGGCCCACCAAGCCTGAACCAATTCCTAATCCTTACTTACACCCGTTACTTATTTCCTTCCATGGTTTCTATCCCTTGGTTTGCCTCCTGTTCACGAGTCTATCAAGGTATACCTTAAACATTGCTAACATGCCACTGACAGTGCGTTCCAGGTACCCCCCAACTCTATGCAAAATATTTTCCTTGTACTTGTCCCCTAAAATTTCCCCCTCTCACTTTGAGCCCTTGCCCTCTTGTATTTGACCTTTCTACCATGGGAAAAAGCCTCTGATGATCCATACCATCCATGCGCCTCAGTTTTGTAGACTTTATCAGGTCACCCCTCAGCCACCTTCTTTCCAGTGAAAACAACCCAGAGTTTATTCAACCTTCCCTCAATGCTAAGGAGAGAAAGCAAAGTTAACGTTTCAGATCCAGTGAGCCTTCCTTCATTCAGCAAGCCTTACATTCGGTATCTGTTCCCGGTCCTCAAAACTTCCTTGTCAAGATGTTTTGCTCACTTCTGTTTGCCATGTTAAGCTGCTGTGTCAACATTCCCCATTGAATTTTTAATCAACTGTTGTAGTGCAGTTGTGGGCTGTGCCCACAAAGGTGACTCCACAGAGCAAGTTTCTCACTTCTACTTCACCATTGGTACCATAAAAATATTTGTGTCTAAATAACTCCACAGATACCCTACTATTTTCTCCATGAATCCACCTCACTCGGAGTGATTGCTAATGGTTAAGTGACAGCATGGAGGCACAGTGCAGGCAATTCTTAGAAGTATGAAGCACTGAGCAAACCTAATTTGATTCACTCGAGGTGGCTGCACAAGTTATTGACTGATAATGTTGACCAACAAAAGCTTACACTTGCCTGTCAGAATCCTCCAACTTCAGAAGTTTGGAGCATCACAGACATTGCCTTGTCCCTGTAGTTCATATCTTGCCATTCTTAACTTCAGGCCAGACATTGATGGCCATTCTGGAGATCATGGGTGGATTAAAAAGATTTAACTGACAGTGAAACAAAAAGGTTTCACTTCCTAAACAGTCCAACATGAAGCAATTTTGCCCTTGCTGATCTGGGAACAAGCCCGCGTTCTCTCCATACTTGGTTCATCTTAAAAATAAACTACAACAAGTACTCCATTCTGCCAAATTGCTGAAAATTAAGTTGGGGTTTATTTAAAATTTCTCCAAGGTCCTTTACACAGAACAGAAGTAACTTAAGGACTGACATGGAGATTAAAACTATTTACAGTAATCCCTTCTCTACATTGTCAGTTCATCTGACTTTTTGGAATTCAAAAATTGCATCTTACTATGTCATGTGGTAACTGGCGTCACTTTCTTTATATACACCATTTGTTTGGATTCATTAACCCCAACATTGCCTTCTGGAAAAAAGTGCTTGCACCTTCTATACAAATCCAAAGCTCTATCCCCTTTAAACATCACCCACATCACCCACATCACCAAACTCTGCTTCATCACTGCAGCATTGCAAGCATAAATGATATGCAAAAAAAAACCAAACACCTCAAGCTTAGAGCAAACACAAGGCACCAAATTTGTTCAGAAATGCTCCATCAGTGCACTTATGCCAGAACTGTGTCCAAAACTGTTTCACTAAGTTACAGTAAAGGGGTAGGAGCAGGTCCAGGGACATTTTACCCAATGTGGCTGCCTCATGCTTCAAAAGCATATATTTCAGTTTTACAGCTGTAATACAAGAGCATAATGTTGGCATGATACAATTCAATTTAAGATCAGTTAGGTATCTTGCATGAAGTGGGACCCTATATGAAAAGGAATCCAGACTGTTAATTGTTCCTTACACTTCTGTATCTTTGTATTGGATAGGCCAGCCTTTCACACTCAGTATACAAACCGAGAGCTTGGACTATAACCCAGTTTGTCAAGGTTTGGATTGCATGCAAACTGTATCATCGGCGGAGGACCACACAGCAGAATAAGCACATCGTCGGCAAATGGGGGAAGGTGTTCCTTGATCATCTGTTCATTCACAAATCCCTCACTGTATTTCCAGCCTAAAAAAAATTCAGAGAAAAAAGTAGAGTGAGAAGAGAAAGACAAACCCTTCCTGATTATCTCTGCCCCCATCCAGACACAGGTTGAATATTTAAACTTAACCTGTACAAAAAAAAAAAATTCAACTCTCTAAACAAGACCACAGAAAGTTTACTGCAGTGGAAGTCCATTATATCGTGGTTCAACATACTGCAAACTTGCCTCCAGTACATGGGGTCTCAGCTCCCAAGGGAGTTAAATCATCATTTTGCTAAGTTATTGACTGTTGTTGTTAACAACAAGAGTTCCTGCTTTGCTAGCAACCGGCAGGAAGAGAAAAATCAGATCAAATAAGCTGCATTTCCTGTTCGTTTTCATAATGCTCTATCACTCTGCAGAGCACATTTCATCAACTGGTGTTTGTTTAAATCTCCTTCCTGTGATATACAACCGCTCGATACTCAAAACAAAGAACAAACTAATGTGTCTTTAAAAAAAGTGTTCTAAAGTGGTTTACAGCTAATAATAATTTTAAAAAAACATGCTGTTGATGGATTGGGACCCAATACAGCTCGGTGAGTGAAAGGGGCATGATCTTTGTTAATGCTAATTCATACCTTCAGGAGCTCTGTCCAGGGTGTACCATATTATGACACGGTGAGGGTGCTCAGCCTCAATTTCTTCCAACTCCGATTGCAACAGGATGTCTTTCTCAGTCTGCAAAAAACAAAGATGACACAGTCAATGCCCCCCACAAGAAAAATGTGGGCATAGAGTAGGACAACTTAATTCACTTGGTAAGAAGAGGAGGGCAAAATTCCAACACCAAACCAAGGAAGACTACATAGTGATCCCCGAAGGGGAGAGAGAGAGAGTTCTGTTTCATGCTGATCAGCTTTGAAAATTTTAGAGCACAAAACCTATAACACATCGTGAGCATGATGCTAACAGACCAGGGAAGTCACAGAAGCACTCAAAAAGAATCACTTGCATTTATATCAAAGATAGTAGGAACTGCAGATGCTGGAGAATCCGAGACAACAAGGTGCAGGGCTGGATGAACACAGCAGGCCAAGCAGCATCAT